GGGGTGGTGAGCCAGCCCCAGCTAATGGCTGGGGCCAGATTTCCAAGGTAGGCGTTCAGATCTGAAGGTGCCTCTCCTCCCAGCTTCTCTTTTCCTTCCTCTTTGAGAGACAGAGATACCTGGGCCAGCAGGTCAACTCAGGTTACCTCAACAGGTACAAGACCTCCCCAAGGGTATGAATGCCAACCAGCCAGAGCAGGTCCCTAACCCACAAGATAGACTCCCAAGGGGGTCCTTACTGGGGACTGAGGAAGCACAGGAATCCCCCTGACACTTCAGGCACCAGACCCTCCATCTCCTGGCCCCTCCCCAGGGCTGGAGGCTAGCCTGTCTTCTTCAGACCCTCGCCTCTCTTGCCTCCAGCTATAGGAAGAGAAGAGGGTCAGAGGTGTGTGGGGTGGCACTCCATAGTCCAGTAAGGGCCACACTGCCCCTTTAGACGTCAGCCCCTGCCTGGGGCAGGAAACCCAGGCAATGGTCACAGCTTGGGCTGGGGGCTCTAAGGGCAAAGCTGCTCAAGGAGACTAAGGACAGGGCTGCTGTGTGCCCCTGACTTCTGGCTGGCCAGGTCCAGGATGTTTCTTCTTAGAAGACTAATTTATATCTGATTGGAGGGGACTGGAGCAGGCCTCTTTCTTGTCCCCACATACTCCCACCCCATAGGAAATGCCAGCTCAGCCAGAGAGGCCCCTAGCTGCACTGCACCCCTCTCTTCCCTAGGCAGGCTGCCCAGGCCAGAATGTGAATGGGAACTGTCAACAGATACTCCTTAAATATTTACCCACACTTTCTCTGGGGGAATCTCCCCCATCCCCAAGACTGGCCAAATTCAAGTTAATTATACAGATTAAAAGACCTTAGTCCATCAGCACCTTCCCTGGCCATAAGTGTGTACAATTATGTGAGCTTAACACAGGCAGAGAGAAAAAGGGAGAAAGTGAGAGAGCCATGCATATGTGTACTGTGAGCAGACAAATGGAAAAGAGGAACAAGAATGATTTTTTTCTGGTCCTCTCCCTCCACTGTGTGTGAGATCGTTACAAACAGGACCACCTTGGGACACACTTGGGATACACCCACACTGTGCGTGCTACTTCTCACCCTGGGATATGTCAGGTGCATGCTCACTGAAACTAGCATACACACGCCCAGGAGCGCTCCTGTCACCGCACAGACACTGCACACACACGTGTACACACGGGCACCCAGTGCCTGACAAACACAGATCCTCTTCAGGTCTTAGCATCATGAAACAGTTACTACCTGTTTCCTCCCCACATCCTGAGGTTTCAGGGTGGGATGAGGAAGGAGGTGGTTAGAAAGTCAGATCTTTTTCTTCCCCATCCGGAGCCCAACTCTGGGGATGGAGGAAAGAATGACCTGCAGGGAAGGATGGTTTAGAGAGAACAAACCTTCCCCCCTGGTCCCTCCATCATCTAGATCATTGCTGGGGGAGTGTCCAGTCCACCAAATTCCCCAAAGAGATCCACATGTCCAGTCTGGAGCCAGAGACCCTTCCAGGATCCTCTGCATTTGGGAGAACTCACCCATCTGACTCAGAGACTACCCAAACTCTGGCCCTGGAGCAGCAGGAGGGAAGGGTCACAGGAGGGCCACACCTCCACTGCAGGGTTCCCTAGGGTCCAGAGCAGTGACAGACCTGACAGGGCACCTTCACACACCCAGAGCTTGCTTCAGCCCTGGCTCCAGCTCTGTCTTTCCTGAGCCTGCTCCTCCGTGTGGAGATGAACACCGTGGACTCAGGGTTCCCACCATCTGTGTCACTGGGGACTGTCATAAATACTTTCTCTTCCCTGCCTGGAAAGAGGAAGGTCACAGAATTCCGCTCTGGGGCCTGGGCCTTATCTTTTAGGGATGGGGGGGGGTGATATTTCGACATTTTATGGTCCAGCGAAAACCCTGCCACAGAGCTATTCTTCCGGGCCTTTGTGTCTTGGAATGCAACTGTCCCGAGTGTGCCGCACTGCCGCCTGCCCAGAGGATCCACCACCAGTCCTGCAATCTCTGGATGGACTTAGTTTCCCCTTTTGGGGATCTCTTGCCTTTCTTTCATTTGATTTTTTTTTCTTTTCTTTTACACGTATCTGGTTTATTTCGCTCCCTGAGTCTGGAAATAAAGGATCTGCAAGCAGTCATCCTCGCCGGGCCGTCTCTGTCCCTCTCCCCGAAGCCTGCACCGCCCTCTTAGGTACCACGGATTTATGTTCGTTTGTCCGGGTCATTCCGCCTTTTTGTGTTAATTACGCGCTGCCTGCTTCGCACTTATCTCCTCCGCAAAGCGATTATTTTCGATGCCCGCCCTCCTGCGCCTCCCGAGACCTCTGCCAGAGCGAGGGCCCATCTCCCGCTGCCACTCGCGAATTATTTACACCTCGCAGGTGAGAGGATTGATTTGCTCCGAGCCAGTGGGGCCGGGCCGGGCCGAGGCACGGGGCCTCCTCGCCTTCGCTCCGGGCCGGGCCTCAAATGTCATTGCGGCCAGGCGGGCCCGGGGCACAGTCGTCTCTAACATTGAGCAACAGCGCCACCTCGCGTCCACTTGCTCCAATGCAGTCCAGAGGGCGGAAAAACCAACAGAGGTCCTAGACTTGGCCCAAAGGTGGGAAGTGGGAGGAAGGAGCCTCCAAATGCGCGCAAAGAGGAGGGATTCCCCGGGAACTGCCTCCGGACTGCTGTTCTTTTGTTTTTCTAAGTTACTGAAATAAACCCTGTGAAAGGTTCCACGCTGTTTTCTCTTTTGTTACCCTCCCTGCATTAAGAGAAACTGCACCAAAGAACTGCCCCAACTCCTCCCTACCCCATTCGCGCGCATTTCTGGGCTCAGAACACCTCCATCCACGCGGACGCACGATCCGAAGCTCCCACGACCGCCTGCCCGCGGCGCGCACCCTAAACTCGTTCTTCTTACCCTGATGTTGGCCCCGCACGCACACGCACCGCCTATTCCACCCCCCGCCTATCCCTCTGCTGCCTGCATGACTTTGGGGTGGGCCTCTTTCCCAAGCTGTTTGCCCCCTGGTTTCGAAGCCCATCCCTCTCGCGCGCGCCCTCTCTCCACCTCTCCCTCCCAGCCAGTGAGGTCCTGTTCTCCGTGGGCCATAGACAAAACATTCCTATAATCCGATTTCAAAGGAAAGAGTTTCCACCTTATTTAAACCATAAAACAATTAAGCCCAGACGTCTAGCCAGCTCCGCGCTGCTGTTTTGTTCGGCCCCATTCAGAACGCAGAGCAGGGAGACAAACAGCGCCATAAAAGTGGCATTTCGGGGCTGCGGAAATGTACCTATCCGCTGCCTTCCCAAGTGGAACAACCTTTAGGGTTTTGTGATTCTGACAAAGGAGCAGGGGAGAGGTGGGAGGGGAAATAAGGGAAGGGGGCTGTTTGCTAGCCCCTCTCCCCCACCCCAGCTTTCATGTCCTCCCCAGATGTGTGTCTGCTGTTGTTGTTTTAATTCATAAGTGATAGATAATGAATAAAAATCGAATCCAGTCCTGACCTGCTGGCTGAGGCTGAGCTGGGACTGAACAGTGTGCCGAGCTCTGGATCTCCTGCTCTCCTCAGGGTCCTCCAGGGTCCTCCAAGCCCTGAGGCCCTCCTTCCTGCCCACAGAAAGGCCGCTTAAGGCCGGATTCAGGAAGCAGGCCCCGCAGTGGACGCCGAGGGGAGGCGACAGGGCCTTAGAGCAGGGGAGGGGTGGAAGCCCGGAAACGCTGCTGCGGAGCTCGGGCTGGCAAAGAAGCCGGCATCCAGGAGGTCTAGACCAAGGGAGAGAGGGGTGTCTTGACTTCCATAGGGTGCAGAATTAGGGCCAGGATTCCAGAACAGCAGAACGGCCAAAAGGGAGAGTGAGAAAAAGAGACAAGAGAGAAAACTATAGGCAAAGCACCTTTCAAAAGGACTGAGAAAACAAAGCTCCTGAAATTGGAAAGCAGGTCTCCTAAGGGACAACTGGGAAGCCTGTTTTTGCAATTCGATCACCCTCTCAATATTATCGAAACAAAGTTATCACTCTTGCCCATCTTCTTCCAGGCCCCCCAAATTGGAGTATTTAATGGAAGAAAAGGATGAGAGATTCCAATAAGAGGGAAGGAGCTGATCTCCATAAGTGTCTCACCAATCCTGTAAAGTGATGCTGTGGGGGCAGCCGCACATGGGCTGAGGCCCCCAATTATGTTCTTTCACAATGGTAACCCCCAAGTATTCAGAGCGACACCCTGCATCCTTGGCAGAATGGGCAGCCTGAGATATTAAAGAGTTATATTTCAAGCAGTCTGATTTTAATAGTTTCCAGATTGGGGGATTTCCGAGAAAGGGGGCGCCGGCTAAGGCATACCCAGCAGCTTATGTCTGCTTCTGATTAGCAGATGAAAACTGCTGGTCCTAGGGAAGGCGCTCTGGGGTGCAGAGCAGCCAACCGGTCCCAGTGGAGTGTTACACATGCATGTCCACACCTTTGCACTTGGGGTCCTATAGCCACCAGGGAGCACCCACTCCTAATGTCAGGTGAATCCCTGACCCTCTTTCTTGGACCCTTGGCCCTAACATCCCCCAGAAATGCTCTAGCTGCTCAGCATGACCCCCCCCATCACCCCTAGACCAACACTCAAACTAAATGAGAGAGAGAGGGCTTGAGAAGAAAGAGAACTAGGAGAGAGAGGAGCTGAGAATGCATTGAGAAGTAGAAACTACAGTTAATTCTTATTGTACTGGCTTTGCCTGGCTGCCTTCCTTCCTGCTTCCCTGCCTGCCTTC